CCACTTTATTTAAATTTGCAATTCGTGAAGTATTACAATAGAGCAAGCTAGTAAATATGATTACGGAAAGCAAGAAAGTTATAACGTTCACTAACGTTAATCAGCCAACAGGACGTGCGGTACCATTTCAATACTTTAAAGCCGTAATACAAGCGCATTGTAGTGGATTCACACGTATCAGATGGATAAAAACGCATTCGTGTAGTTTTTTAAACATTTTGTAGCAAATCAAGGATGCGAGGGCATCAATGACGGCAGGTCAAATAAAAATTGACTTTAAAACAATAAAAAATCGCACATAAGTCAACAAAGTTTATCTCCTAAAAAATTTGGAGACTTTTTGTTGAGATTTTTATTTTCCCCTTTTTCTATAGAAAAGTTTCAGAAATATCTTATTGACTACATTTCAAAATATTTTAAAAACATCATTAATTGTCTTGAAGGCAAGACGGTTTCGGTCCGAAACGAATGATGTCATCCAGCACCAATCAGAAGCGAGCACAGGCCTTTACGACTTCCGTCAAATGCCTTTTTAATCTTCGTAAACAAACAACAAAAACAATAAGAAAGCCAACAAACACAAACAATAGGAAACAATAGGAAAGTCGGAACTGTATCTCTAGAATGAAATAATTAAATTTCATTCATGTTGTATATAGTAAACAACAAGTCCACATTGAATTGCGTTTTGTTTTATCAAACATCAGTGGAAAAGGAGAGGAGATAGCGATTTGACTTTCGTAGTACATCTCTTCCATCATTTTCCCGTCATATCGGCGCATTTAAGATTCCTTCGAGTATTTGCACTTCTTAAAAACGGGCTTTTCCAGGATTTTGACTCCAAAAATACGCAATAAATTTACCGCTTTCGCAGAAAAAAACCAAGCCGCATCATTTATTGCCAAATTAAACCGAGCAATTCAATTTTTTTTACAAGAGATCGTGTGTGCGGATTTTTTTTTTTGTTTTGAAATTTTAAGGAATTTGCTTCGTACACTGAAGAAAATTCAGTAGAATTTGCGAAAAAATCCGGACAACCGTTGTCGCGTAAAAAATTAAGCCGCCCAATTAAGATCATAGTGGATGTGACTTGGCTTCTCTCTGCTCAACGTGGTTCAAATCACTACGTATTATACTCCTCTGGTACTTTCAGAATATACGGAATATTAAATGGATTGCATTTTGCGAAAAGGAACCAAGAGCATTCCAATGTCTCTAAGCTTTTGCAACTTTTTTTACCTTGCAAATATAATCTGATCATGTAAATAAGTTTTATTATTACTTCCAATAAACCATAGATTCAAGACGAAAATTGCCCTCGTATATTTAACTATGTGCATAATTTCAGTAATTTTATTGCAAAGAATGCAAGTTGTACAATTCTCTAACAACATTGGAATGCTCTTGGTTCCTTTTTGCAAAATGCATACGTAAATGCCGCTTTTATAGCGCTCTTTGGCGCTCTGCGACAACCAGCCGCCAAAGTACCCTACCCTTTCCGAACCCTTCAGGGAGTTGGCACTCCCTTATTTCCTCTAAAACTCCCTGTCACCACCCTTTCACTAGGTGTCACCTTCGTCTCCTCCCAGGAGGAACCCATTCAAGTCGTATCTTCTTCTTCTAACGACTAGCGCATAGCCCTGTTTGTCAGGCCATCAAGTAACGAGCACAAGAAACTATATGTAAGTATTAAACAAGCGGGAAAGTTCTAATAATGTCGTATTAGAAAAGCGCTCAGGTGATAGTCAATGTATTTAATGAAGAAAGGACGTATAAACTCCGTCGACTTGGCTGGGAAATGGAAATAAAACATCAGCTGATAGCAAACAAAGGTTACCAAGGAAACCGTAAACGCGTATTTTTGTTTCCCGAAAATGAGCTCTCCGTTGAGCTCATCAGGTGCGTTTTTTTGAGCTCGCCCACTCGGGAGAGCTCTTTGCGATCGATTTCTTTTAGCATTGGTAGTGTCCGTGGCGACGAATGGATGGTTCTCGTTGCCGTCGGAGGAACGGCCAAAATCCCATTGATTTCAAGGTCTAAAAGTTGAATTTTCGCGGGTTACAGTTTTCCTCCGTCGAACATTTCCGTTCCCTCATACAACTGAGGATTAATTGTTCCTCGTTTGCTACACTAGAGAGCAGCACTTTCCAGTGGCCGAGCATATCATAGCATGTTGCTATGGTTTTATATCAAATAACCTAAAACCTAATTGTATGTTATCATCCTCTTATCTTTTCAATGCAGTTTTTGTGTGCAGTTGTACTTGCAATTGTTATTATTTCTTAAAATAAAAACATGGTGACCTCGACGTGATTTAATAATTTGTTCAATTAATTTTAAGTTACTAAGACTAAGATTGAGATTTGCGCATAATTAATGGATAATCCTTAAGATTGCCGTTATTGGTACCATAGAAGGTTAATTAACCTCAAACTAATTGCATGCTTGAGAGCTCGGTTGAGACTCGCATTGGGATCCTTTCAGAGTTTGTTTAAACCTCATATTAAGAATGCTTTAGGATTCGTTTGAGCCCCTCGCATCAAGAATGCTTGGGAATTCGTTCGAGCCTCGCATTTAGAATGCTTGAGAATTCGTTTGAGCCTCGCATTGAGTTTCTTTAGAGTTCGTTTTAACCTTAAAATACAGATGCATGAAGTGCTCTTTCGAGCTCCGTGCTATTTATAGTGCGCGAGGTGCTCCATTGAGCCACCCCATACCTACAAAGGCGTGATGTGCTCCATTGAGCCACTCGCATACAAAGGCTTGAAGCGGTCTCTCGAGCTCCACGCTAAAATTCAAGTGAATTCCTTTTCAGCTCTTAGTGTATACCATAAGTATTGTGTAAGAATTATGGCAGAAACGTTCCTCCAAACCGTGCTAAATTATAGTTTCTTTGAACTCTGTGCCGATAAAAATTCAGAATTCCAGACTGCCAGCTTAACAAAGTATAACCTTAATTCAAGTTGGCGACTTGATTTAAAAAAAAAAATTAAAATTAAATCATATGATTTCATTACATTGTTGACAAGTTAAGAAAAAGCTTATCAACGATGAAAGCCAGAAACAAAAATGCGATGGCAAAAATAGCCATTGCAACATTTGCCGCAAAATCACATTCATAAAAGAGAATTCCATTTCTCTCTCTTTATTTCTCTTTATTTATTGTAATGTGAAAAATTTGTCATATGAAATTACGTCATAACATTTTGCATCGGCATGTAACCTCTGATAATTGGGTAAAGATTCATTTAATACATATACAATTTCAGAAAAAATCATTAATAGTTGTTAATAGTTTCCCAAAGGCGAGCTCTCCAACACAGTAGTGTTGGAACCAGCAGCTTGTTTAGGCTTCATTTGAGTTCAACGATCAATTTCGATAAGAATTACTCTACCGCTAAGAAATTTTCTTATAGACAAACGATCGAAACTACCTGCGCATTACGTTAAAAGCATAAAATACAGTTTTCATAGCTTTATTTAGTTCAACGATCAATTTCGATAAGAATTACTCTACCGCTAAGAAATTCAACCTCGGCACTCAGAAGACCAAATTCAAAAAAGCTGAAGCTTTTTAGAAAGCTGAGAGTTTAAAAATTCAAAGAATTTGTGCAGATTTAAATTTTCTGTATTAGTTTCGAAGATATGACAAATATTAACCCACTTTACGAATACCCCTCGAACATAAATGCCGCTTTTATAGCGCTCTTTGGCGACCTGCGACAACCAGCCGCCAAAGTACCCTATCCTCCCAAAGCCCTTCAGGGAGTTGGCAGTTGGCACTCCCTCATTCTAAAACCCTCTGACGCCACCCTTTCACTGGGTGTCCCCTTCGTCTCCTCCTGCAGGCCGATTATTTAAATTTATGGACAAAGTTATAGACAAAGAAGACATAAGGAGTAGAGCCATCCTATTGGTTGAAATGAGTGGTTCTAATAGACTAAGGGAGTAAATGATGGACTAACTGTCGGGTCTCTCGTGGGTTGCCGTTAGCAAGTCTATTACCTACGTCCTCTGTCCATTGTAACCACCCACTTCCACCAATGGGATCCCTCTACGTCCTTTTTGTCTTCTTTGTCCATTGCTTTGTCTATCAATTTCCATAATCAGTCCGCAAGGAGGAACCCAATCAAGTATCTTGTTCTTTTTGCAAAATACAATCCAAATAAAACTATAAATAAAACTAACCAAAGAACTATACGGTGCTAAAATCCAGAAATATGCCGAGAAAATTGCCAAATTTCGGCGAAATTTGACAAAATATCGAAATTTTCGATACAAGTCGTCGATATATCGAGTCCAAACCCCCAAAAATCGGTTTCCCATTAAAAATTACGTAAGAATCATGACTAAAAACAATTTATTTTGCCTTATTCTTGAGACAGCAATGTGAATTCCTTGAAAAATCATCGAAAATCGTGAAATCCCAAGTGCTCAAATTTCAGGGGGCTTGGGCCGTATGTTTACATTTACCTAGGGACCTGAATTTTTTTTAGGCCTTGTCCACACGAGCGCAGTTCGCGGAACTTATTCCTCGAACTTGCTCAGTTCCCGGAACTTATTCCTTGGAACGAGGCATGCTGTCCACACGGGTTCGTCCGAACTGGAACCGGAACTTCAATAAAACTATACAATTATTGCAAAATAATAGATTATTATGACCGCCAAAGTAACAAAAATAAATGTCAAGATCATATGTAAAGGACGTGAAAAACAAAAACAAGCAAATTCACATCAAAAGAACCACATTTAGAAGCTCGGAGCACGGGGGAAATTCCAGGTTTTGGAGGAATAAGTTTCAGCTCAACAAAAAACTTGTTCCGGGAACAAGTTCCTCGAACTGAGTTCCGCGAACCGCGTTCGTGTGGACAAGGCCTTACATTCATTTGAGAGCATTTGGCCACTTTTGAAACGTCAGGGATGTCAAAATTCCGACATTTTTGTTTTTCGGCCCACCCTAGGGTCCTCAGGTGACTCATTGTTTGAACTATTTGTTTCAGACACCCGGGGAGACCATGTATAAATGAAAGACCCGGACTGGTCAGTGGCAGCGACCGGGCTGAACTCGCTTTCTCTCTCGTGGCTCAATGTCTCGTCCGCCGACGCGCACTCCTCGACCGGGGCCGGCAACTCGAGCCTCGGCCCGACCGCGGAGCTCCTCTCGGCCTGGCTCAGCTCCCCGGCGGCCATCACCCTCCTCGTCTCCTTCTACATCGTCGTCCTCACCATCGGCCTCTTCGGCAACACCCTCGTCGCCGTCGCCATCCTCAGCCAGAAGCTAATACGCAACTTCCTCCTCCTCAACCTCTGCATCTCCGACTTCTTCGTGTGCATCATGAGCGGGCCCATCTCCATCGCCGCCGCCCTCAATCACGTCTGGAGCCTCGGCGCCGTGTCCTGTAGGCTTGCCTTCTTCTTCCAGGTAACATATGTCAACTTGTTACCCTCTGTTTAACTGTTTATTACTGTATATCTTGTCACGGGCTGCGGAGCATCAAACATATCTCGTCACCTTAGTCATGCGACGCGACGTTTAAAAATTTCAGCCGCCTTTTTATATTTTCACAGAACAATTGTTCAATGAAGCTGTCTGAAAATTTCACTGAATTTTCTTTTCAAAATGTCCATTGTCACTTGATTTTTTTACAGAGATATTTTTCAACGGAGCTGTCAAAAAGTTTCCATGAATTTTCCTTGCACTGCCAATAAAAATGTGACTCGCGCACTGGCGCCTACAAACCTAACTGGGATACTTCACGCAATGCGCAATGCGTGAAGTATCCCTGTTAGGTTTGAAGGCGCCAGCGCGCAAATTTCCGCTGTCATTTGATTTTTTTACGGAGAGATTGCTGGTTGATCCGTCCGAAAATTTCACGGAATTTTCTTTGTACTGCCAATAAAATTCAGTGAAATTTTCCAACAGATTCAACTAACAATTTCCTTGTAAGAAAATAAAATAGCGGCGGAAATTTTGAAACGTCGCAAGGCGCTTGTGATATTTTGGCCGGAAGAGGACGATCTCTTGAAAATATTTGAAAATTTGAACGTCTCGAGAGCAATTTTAAGCCATTCTCAATGACTAATGGGACTGTTGCAATCTTTTGCCAGAGTAAAAAACGTACAAAGTTTCATGCTTTGCATGTGTAAACAGAAGGTACTTTTCAAAATCGCGATTTGCTCAAAGTATATTAATACGTGCGTAAAAATGAAAGAGTTGTGTAGGTACAGAAACAGATCTGATGGGCTCTTTCAGTAACGGCATTGATTTAAAAAACAATTACCAGCAATCCACTCGTAAATGCTCTCAAAAATTATTTATCACGATTCAAGAATTCGAATATGTTCCCGCCACGAAAACGGCTTTAAAATAACCCAGGAGCCAATCGGACTCGAATACACATATCGTGTGGTTGGGCTCTCTGCGAAAGCAATAAAGCGCGCCATATGCTTAGTGAATTTTGGTGGGGAAATTGAATAAAATAAATAATATGAAGTAAATATAGTATGAATAATGAAGTAATGAGGGAACCATTTTAATGAGGACTGGGGTCCAATCGAAGCAATGTATCCGTGCGTTGCAAAAGTTAATTTCGAAGACCAACGATATTTTCCACCTAATGATGACTAATTGGACGTATTTCTTTCAAACGGAACTATGTGCGTTAAGACATGAGCTCTGAGAACCATAAGAATACATGCATACCAGGGTTCACGCCATAATGCACATAGTTCCGTTTGACAGAAATGCGTCCAATTAAACCCGCAGGTCGATTGTTGAATCGTTATCGAGTGATCCTCATCGATAACCCTCGTCCTCTCTGTTTAGCCTATCAGCAGTACCAGCACTGAAAAAAATAGTTCTGTGCACAGGGCTCCTGCCTTTTCTTTGTTACAGCTACAGAAGCTGCCGTCACGAGGACAGAGTTCCCTGTCCTCACGACCGAAGTTCTGTTTTCACACACTGGAAAAAAACACATTGTTTCTGGATTCCAGACTCTTGAAAACATTGAAAAGAAAAAATATTCCTCATTCAATCGGATTTTTGCTTGAATCAAAACGAAATCCGCTTAAATTAAGAGACTTGATTCTTGATTTAAGCTAGATTCTGATTGAATCAAGAGTACTTTTTCTCGTCGATGTTTTTAAGAGTCTGGACTCTAGACCCAATGTGTTTTTTTTTCCCCCTAGTGCGTGATTATTTTACGTTTTAATACGTTTAATAAATTTGTATTTGATAATCAAAAAGACTGTTTATATGAAGGGTCATTTTTTTTCATAGGAAAAATGTTTTCAAACATCGTTCTGAAACGCGAAACTCTGATCTGCAGAGAGTTAGTGAGAGCTTTGAAGCGATAAGGCGCGTCCGAGCAACTATTTTAACTCTCCGGAGATCAAAGTGCATACCCGATCAATTGAAGGGGTTTTGCATGAGTCGCCGCCGCCGCGCGCAGGACTATGAGAATGAGAGTACCTTCAGTCTTCCGGTCAGGCAGGCTACGACAGTATTGCCGTGCTAAAGGAAGAACGCCGTAAGAACCGTCATACGTTGCCAAATCACCTTTTGATAAAATATGAAATTTCAGGGAAACTTCTGAAAATTTTTCTTCGGATTTGTCAGAGAATTTTACTAGCAATCAGATATAGATCATCTGAAAATTTATGGAGAAAATATTTTATAACTTTCCTCAATCTAAACAGTTTATCAGAGGAGATTCGGCAACTTTTGAATGTTTATACAGCGTTTTCCCTTCACACCGCAAAGTGCGACTGAGGATTTTAGCGAGAAAAACATATGAGAAGACTGAATATTCTCCAAGATTGTTATCAGCCCTGTCAGATGTTTTTCGCATCCATTTACCCCTCGGTGTAGCTTAAACAATTTAAAAGCAGTTCTTTTGAGGTAAGGAGAATTGGTTTGGACAAAAGGTAAGCTTGCTGGTTGAATCTGACGCGCATCCTCATCAACAGGAGAGGGAAATCGACAGCGCCTTCGATGGCGTTTGTGTTTTTTTCGAGTGCAACAAAATAGTTCTGTAAATGCAACAAAGAAAATGCAGGAGCCCTGTGAACAGAAGGTTCTGTCATCAACGCAGACTATTTTTTTGCGTGAGGGATTGCTCAGAAAAGTCGCATAGTGGACAGTATAAATTTACCGGGAGAGTGATTACTGATTAGCATCCGCGCGGACAACAAAAATCAAACACACCATTAACGTTATCAATTTTTGATCCGCTAATACCCCGCTCGGTGTTCACTCGTGCATAATTTACGTGCAGCAGAGGATGTCACAAGCTGCATCCTGCCAAAGCGACAGTTTGTTATTTTATCTGATAATCGGCACCGAAATGAATCAGTTGCTCCGAAAAAGGACATGAACCCGTTTTCAGATGAGCCTTATTTTCCATGCGTTTTTACGAGCTTCCACGCTCGTGCAAAAATGCACTTGTGCCGTTTCTGAAAACAACGGTTTCCAATATGAGAAACCGTCCACCTGCGCTCGGCTCCGCCGACGGCCAATTAAGTTGGAAGATTTACGTCATAATTTTTGTGCTCGCCAACCCTGTTGCGCGAGATTTGGGTCGATTTGACAACCGCGTGGCGAATGAATGATTACCTGATGTCAAAACTTCGCGACGACCGTGGGTTTTTGGTGAGGGGCAGTGTTGTAATGTCGAATTTTCAGTTTTATTCAGGCTCTCGCTTCTGTCCTGCAGTGTCTAGAAAAGCGGAATGCCTTCAATTTTTCGTGTATGCAATATCGGCATTCATTTGAGCTCGAATAGTTACATCAAATGGACCACCAGAGTTGCCGTGCAACGCAAAAATGCCGTAAACGCCATTTTTTATTTTTGGGAAACAACGTACCCTAGCAGAAAAACTTGTGTACCTTGAGACAATGTTTTCACAGAATTCTTCTGCAAATCCTATCAAGAACCTAGCCTGAAAAGTTGAGGTGCACGGGTAAAACAGTTTTTGTTTCATAAAGTGTTAAGTTCCAAAAAACGCGGGAAAATCTTGATGGATTTATAGCGTTCTTGCTTAGCACCGCAGAGAAAAGGTACGAAGTCAAGCAATCTGGTACACGTTTCTCTTCAATTTCACGTAGTACACGATTTTTTCATTAAAAAACACTGTAATCAACTCCTAACTAAGAAATCAACGTTTTAATTTTACATTGAAGAGAAATTTAAATTACCCGGTTCATAAAAAATAAAATGCTTTGGAAATCATTAAATTTGACACGGAACCATCTTAACATTTACAAAACACTCATTATATTTTCATGAAATACATATTTTTCCCCTATCAATTTAAATGAGAATACTCCACAATGAGTGTGCAATCATCTAATAACCATAAGTTGAAAAACGCGGACTCCGCGAGTCTAAGTAGAGCCGAACACCGAGCGGAAAGGCGTGCTGCTAGCGCGATACGCGCACTGGCGGCACTGGCGCCTACAAACCTAACTGGACACTTCACGCATTGCGCAATGCGTGAGGTATCCCAGTTAGGTTTGTAGGCGCCAGTGCGCATGTCACGCTGGTCGTCCTCGCCCACTGCGCTGTAGGGTGCAACGGCGCTTTAAGCAACTATTTCACAACAGAGGTGTTGCACAGTATCATACGAAATTGGCATCCACTAATATGCGGAGCTTTCCTCGCAAAATAAATCAATATATTACGGCACAAAAAGATTAGTCCAAAAATGCACTGAGTCCTAGCATCCGTATTTAATAACGTTAAGCATAATTTTTGTCGTTTGTATTTACATTTGGACCAATTAACTTTGGGTCTCAATCGGTATGTGGACCAAAACTTCCCTACCGAAAAAACGCATATACGTAAACTATCGCTGTGGGCTGATTATTGAAGTTGATTGACAAAACTATAGACAAAGAAGACTTAGGGACGATGAAGCGACCCGATTAACTGAAGTTGATGGTTCCCATAGACTAAGGAAGAAAACGATAGACTAACAATAGGGTCTCTCGTGGGTTCCCGTTAGTTTGTCTATCACCCACCTCCTCTGTCAATTACAACCACCCGCTTCCACCAATAGGGTTCGGCTATACCAGCTTTGTTTTCTTTGTCTATAGCTTTGTCTATCAATTTCAATAATCGGCACGCTGTTAGGCCGTCATTATTATTATTTGGATCCAATTCGATATAATCAAGCGAATCCTTTCGATAACTTCACCACTGAAGAGCATATGGACGTATTTCTGCTAAACGGAACTATGTGCATTATGACGTGAGCCCTTTTATGCATATATTCTTATGGGTCTCAGGGCTCATGCCTGAAAGCACATAGTTCCGTTTGGCAGAAATACGTCCATATATGAAATCGAAGGTTGGCATCGACGCAAGGGCACATTTACGTCTGGTCCAATTTGTGTCGACGCGGGCATTACGATATTTTTCG